AAAACCCCCCCCCCCCCCCCCCAGTTGAAAATTTCTGAAATAATCACTGTCTGCAACTTCCACATGGTTCTGGCATCTGAATCACTGCCTTTTTGTACTTGACGCAGCGCCAAAGGTCGCCCCACCCCCTTTTCAAACTAAACTGTTGTACGGTTGACTGTCTGTGGTATCAGACAAAAGGGAGGAGACATTACCAAGCTGCTCCATGAGTGGGACTTGGACTTGGACTATGATAGTTGTTGATTTTGATTGGGTGAGAGGTTTTGTGAGGGCGAGTTGTGATTGGAGGGGCGATGCAAGGTCAGTTAGCTTAGTGGTCTAAGCGATCATTGTAGTGAGAAGGTACAAGATAGTTAGTCAGTAGAGATGATAGTGGTCTAAGCGATCATTGTAGTGAGAAGGTACAAGATAGTTAGTCAGTAGAGATGATAGTGGTCTAAGGCGATCATTGTAGTGAGAAGGTACAAGATAGTTAGTCAGTAGAGATGATAGTGGTCTAAGCGATCATTGTAGTGAGAAGTTACAAGATAGTTAGTCAGTAGAGATGAGAGTCTGAGGATAAGAGCGATGTCGTGAAGAGTTTTGTGAAGAACGTGAATAGCACCACAAAACTAGTGTGTGACGTTGCACCAAGGAACTCGTTTTTTTTATCACCATTCTTTTTTCATTTTTGTATTTTGACTCCTGGTTTGAATTCAGAGTTAACCTTCTCTGGGTTGCCTTCTAAGACTAGCGGGTCCCATCCACCCGGGGTCCCATCCACCCGGGGTCCCATCCACCCGGGGTCCCATCCACCCGGGGTCCCATCCACCCGGGGGCCGGAGTGCTTGGGATTTGGCTTTAGCGGGGATTGAACTCCAGAACACCACTATTTGGAGTGAGTGAGCTTAGACAACTCGGCCACCCAGCACCCTTTTGCTGCCCTCTCAAATACTATTTTTCAGCTAACTGCTGTTTTTTAATTTAAATCTAATTCTGTCTTTTTTTGTCTTCTTCTTCTTCTATATCTTAAGGGCCCACGATTAATTTATTGATCATTTTGGCTCCTATGCATGTAGATGGGATTTGCAATGTTTCTGTTACTGGTGTTGATGAGGAAATCATGCACTAGGGGTTAGAGACCGACCGAAAGTGATTTTCTGATTTCGGCTGAAGCCGAAAATAGGCCGAAATTTTAAAATGACTTTCGGCCGAAACCGGAAAAAGGCCGAAAGTTAAAAATGAATTTTGGCCGAAGCCGAAAAGGAAATATTAAGATATTTTGAAATTCGTTCCCGCATACATTCTGCATACATCGAAAATGATGTGGGAAAGTATAAATATTTACATTCTTTTTATAAAAAATGAGATAATCGTGAATATTAATAAATAAACATCTAATATAGGGGTCTCAAACTCGTGGCCCGCGAGCCATTTGTGAACCGCAAGACGATATTTTGCAGCCTGCTACATGACAGAAAAGTTTAGTGTAAATGCGCTGGCCCATTTCCCCCATTCTCATATCTATAACGTGACTCTCCGCGACGTTTTCAGTCGAATCTCACCGACTAGTCTAATTCTGATTTTTTTTTGGTAATGTTTCTATAAATTTTTGTATGCAACAGTGAGTAGGTGGATGAAAGTGAATCCTAGTTCTTGAGAACCCTTAATGATTTTATTGTTATTTATAAAGGTTGAGCAGATTGTAACAGTTGTAATCGCTTTTTTGTGGATTACTTGATGCGGCCCAGTCTCATTCAGACACTACCTCCTGCGCCCCCCCCCCCCCTCGATGATTTGAGTTTGAGACCTTTGATCTAATGAATACTTTGGATTTTACCAATTTAATATAAACGTAATTTAAACTGTTTTACAATTTTTAAAAAAATTAGTATGGTAGGAGAAAATTTGGCAAAAATTGGTTGGGGGGGGGGGGGAATTAATGCAAAATATTATTTTTTTAACGGGTCTGTAAAAATTTTGGTTCTAAAAGATCGCTTAATTTGTTTTTAAAGATCGTTTAGATTGTTCTAAAATATTGCTTAATTTAATCTTAAAGATCGCTTAGTTTGTTGTTAAAGATCGTATAGTTTGTTTTTAAAGATCGTCCAACTTTTCTTAATGATCGCTTTATTTTTTCTTAAAGATCGGTTAGTTTGTTCATAAAGATAGCCTGGTTTGTTGTTAAAGATCGTTTAGTTTGTTCTTAAAGATTGCTTAGTTTGTTGTTAAAGATCGTTTAGTTTTTTCATAGAGATCGCTTAGTATGTTCTTAAAGATAATTGATTTTGTTCCTTAAGATCGATTAGTTTGTTCTTAAAGATCATTTTGTTTGTTCCTAAAGAACATTTAGTTTTCTGTTAAAGATCGCTTAGTTTAATCGTATAAATCATTTAGTTTACTATTAAAGATCATTTGTTTTGTCTTAAAGATCACTTAGTTCGGTCTTAAAAATCGTTTAGTTTGTTCTTTAAGATCGTTTATTTTGTTATTAAAGATCGCTTAGTTTGTTTTAAAGATCGTTTAGTTTGTTCTTAAATGTCGCTTAGTTTG